GCGCGTGCTGCCATGCCCAGCTAATTTTTTGATTTATTGTAGAGATGAAGTCTCACCAAGTTGCCCAGGCGGGTCTCGAACCCACGGGCTCAGGCAGTCCTCTTACCTCAGCCTCCCAAAGTGCTGGGATTACAGGCTGAGCCACTGAGCCCGGCTCATCCTTCATTTTTGAATAGGGTATTTGAAGATAACACTTGATCCATGCCTTTATTGCAATTTTGTCATTATTGTTATTATTATTTTAGAACAAGCTCTTGTTGTGTTGCCTGGATTGAACTCCTGGGCTCAAGTGATCCTCCTGCTTGGTCTCCCAAAGTGCTGGAATTATAGGCATGAGCCACCACCCCCGGCCCCTTGTCTGTCTTATTTAATACATTTTTCATATTATCTCCACATAGTATCTTCTTTTTTTTTTGTTTTTTCTGAGTTGGAGTCTCACTCTGTCGCCCAGACTGGAGTGCAGTGGCCGCTCCCAGTCACCGCAGCCTCGACCTGCTTGGCTCCGGCGATCCTTCCGCCTCAGCCTTCCGAGTAGCCGGAATTACAGGCATGTGCTACCACACCCAGCTGATTTTTTGATTTATTGTAGAGATGAGGTCTCACCGAGTTGCCCAAGTGGGTCTTGAACCTGTGGGCTCAGGCAATCCACTCACCTTAGCCTCCCAAAGGCGCGGGATTATAGGCTGAGCCACCGAGCCCGGCTCACATAAGTATCTTCTAAGACTAAACTTTGTACTTAGAAGACAATGAGGTAAATAACTATCAAATGAACTAATACTAAGAATCTGCACAAAAAAGACGAGCCATGTAGAAGCGTAAGTTAATACTCTATATTCTCGTGTTTTTCCTGTTTGGTTCAGGCAGGGAGCAAATCTATCTGGGTGGAACTAGCACTTTTGAATAGAAGGTCTATTACAATGTTTCTCTGTTTTTTAGCTATTACTTACTTTGATAAATAAAAAACTCATGTTTTGATGTCCATACTCTTCAATTCTGATACTACCCAGAGTTAGCATCAGATCCCAGGAGTTAAAGAGCAAGATTCCCAACAAGGTTGCTCTTACGTCAGATGCCAGGTGCAAGTCTGAAATGGCACACTACAAATTCAGGTTTCTGACCACCTCCTCAGGTTGTTATTCCCTAGAACAATACACAGAACTCAGGAGAGTGCAGTACTTACCATTGTTGATTGTTGCAGAATAGTTCAAAGGAGTAAGTAGAGGAATAGAGAGCTACAGTATCTCTATTCTATGTTCTAACAAATGAACAGCCAGATGAAGAGGTACATAGGGAAAGGTCTAGAAGAGTCCCTAGTGCAGGAGAGTGTGTCCCCATAGGGGTATACCATGTTTCTACTGTAGCAATATATTCACCAACTAGGAAACTCTCCTGACTTTTGATGTCTAGAGTGTTTATATGGGGTCTCATTATGCAGGCATGATTAGTTAAATCATTGACCATGTAGTTGAAACTTAATCTCCAGCCTCTCTTTCTTCCTTGGAGGTTTTGGGGGTGGGGCTGAAAGTTCCAGCCCTCTATGTAGTTGTTTTTTCTGATGACCATCCCCAATCCTGAAGATATCTTGTTTTGCTTCCCTCTTCCCTACCCCCAAATGAATCACCTTGTTAGGATGAACTCGGATGTGACTGAAGGGGCTCATTATCATAACAAAAGACACTCCTGTCATTTGGGGTATCAAAGGGATTCTGATGCTCTGTGTAAGAACTAGGGACAAAGACCAGAGGTATTATTATGTTACACCCTCTTCAATATTATTTGAAATTTTAACATTTATTTTTTTTGTTGTTGCTGAAAACAAATTGAACAAAGTAATTTTGCAATGTGTTTATTTTTATTTATTTATTTATTTTTTGAGTTGGAGTCTCACTCTGTTGCCCAGGTTGGAGTGCAGTGGTACCCTCCTGGCCACTGCGGCCTTGACCTGCTGGGCTCAGGCGATCCTTCCACCTCAGCCTTCCAAATAGCCAGAACTACAAGCACGCGCTACCACGCCCAGCTAATTTTTAAAATTTATTGTAGAGATGAGGTCTCACCATGTTGTCCAGGCTGGTCTTGAACTTGTGGGCTCAGACAGTCCTCTCACCTCGGCCTCCCAGAGTGCTGGGATTATAGGATTGAGCCACCATGCCCGGCCTATTTTTATTTAACTTTTTTTTTTTTTTTTTTTTGAGTTGGAGTCTCACTCTGTCTCCCAGACTGGAGTGCAATGGCCACTCCCAGCCACCGCAGCCTCAACCTGCTGGGCTCCGGTGATTCTTCCGCCTTAGCCTTCCGAGTAGCTGGAACTATAGGCGTGCGCTACCACGCCTGGCTGATATTTTAACTTTTTTAAAAATTTGAGTCAGGGTATCACTGTATCACTCAGGTTTGAGTGCAGTGGCACAATCACAGCTCACTGCAGCCTCAACTTCCTGGGTTTAGGCATTCCTTCTTCCTCAGCCTCTTAAGTAACTGGAACTACAGGTATGCGCCACCATATCTAGCTAATTTTCTGTAGAGGTGGTGGTCTCATTATGTTGCCTAGAATTGCAGGCATGAATCACCACACTCGGCCAGAATGTTTATTTTTTAATTGCCTCAGCAGTTACCTACTATTCCCAGCTCTCCAGTGGCTTTTAAGAAAATCTTTGAATGGGAACTCTGCCATGCCAGACTGGAATGACTTTAAACATCTAAATAAAATACACTCAAGGCAGGAGTGGTATAGAGAATGGTATAAAAAAGAGAAAGCACTGGCTTGACCATCAGAAGATGAGTTATTCTCTTAAGTCTGGAACTAATCTTTTAGTGAGATCTTGAGAAATTGACTGTTTCTGGTTCCCCACCCCACCCTTTCTTATCTGAAAATTTTCGAGGAGCTGAATAAGCTGATCTCATTAACTGGGTTCTAGCAGTTCTGTGATAATGGGCTCTGGACTCAGTGATATCTTGGAACTCAGTGGAATATTACCTTATTGTCAGCCACTTGAAAAGGGCCCAAGCCTTCTTACACAAGCCAACTGAAAAGATCCATAGAAATCGGATGACACCTGTTAAATCTAATCTGTTCCTCACCAGCAGTACTCAGTTGTGCACAACACTCTTTAAGTTTTGACTCTCTTTCCTGTGTTTCAACCATTCATTGTTTTTCCCAGAGATTTGACTTGTGTTTTAGTTCACTCTTTCTTTTATTTTTTTTTTTTTTGAGTTGGAGTCTCACTCTGTCACCCAGACTGGAGTCTGGCCGCTCCCGGCCACCGCAGCCTTGACCTGCTGGGCTCCGGCAATCCTTCCACCTCAGTCTTCCAAGTAGCTAGAACTACAGGCATGCGCTACCATGCCCGGCTTAATTTTTTTTTTTGGTTTATTGTAGAGATGAGGTCTCGCCAAGTTGCCCAGGTGAGTCTCGAACCCACAGGCTCAGGAAATCCACTCACCTCAGCCTCCCAAAGCGCAGGATTACAGGCTGAGCCTCTGAGCCTGACCACTCTTTCTTTTAATCATTTAAGAAGGGAATGTGACTTTTCTAATATACATTTCTATTTCTTTTATGTTTAGACACTATAATTTGCTATTATGGCAGAGATTAATAGGCAGGTAGACTGTTTTCCTCTAAAATCACAAAAGGGTTTAATTGATAAGTAGTTCTAACAGTATAATTATGTAATCAGAAAGTTATGGGAATAGAAAAATTTCATAATAAAAATTAAGATTTTAAGATTGTATATTAGAAAGAATTTCTAGAATAGAAAATATAACAGAAAATTTTATTTGTTTTTACCTTGTTACTAACTCTTCAAATAGACACTCTAGAAAATAAATAATGTAGAGAAGTAGGCACTCTGATGTTCTGTTGATGAGGCTATGAATTGGTTTATTCATTTTTGGAGGTAATTTAACAAAATCTATTAAAACAAAGAATAGCATGTGTGCTTACTTGAGTTCCATTTGGAGGAGTTTATCCTGTAGAAATACTAATTGTAGCATTATTTATAAAGGTGAAAACTTGGAAAAAATCCAAATGTTCAGTGTTAGGAAATTACATTAATAAATTATAATATGTCATACAATGGATTCTTATTCAACTATCAAAAATAATGCAGGAGATTTTCTTAATGTTAATATAAAACAGATTTATTATTGCTATTTTTAAACATTGTGGTAAAAATATGCAACACAATACTTATCATTTTAACCATTTATAGGTATACAGTTTAATGGCATTAAATAATTCACAAAGTTGCATAATCCTCACTACTATTTATAACTACAACTTTTTCATCATCCCTAACAAAACTCTGTCCCTATTAAATAGCAACTTTTCTGGAGGTTTTTATGCACTGACATGGAATATGCCCAAATGCATAATTAAGTGATAAAGGAAAATTGCAAAGTAGTGTGAATACTATGATTCTACTGTGGTAAATTGTTGTAAGTTAATATAAGTATAGGAAAAATCTGAGAGAATTTATATATGAAATCATTAGTAGGGGATATTGTGAGAAATTTTTACTTTGACAGTATGTATTTTGGTAATTAAAAAAAATTAACTTATTTATTTATTTATTTGAGTTGGAGTCTTTGTTGCCCAGGGTAGGGTGCAGTGGCACGAATATAGCTACTGCAGCCTTTTAGGTAGTCCTTCTGCCTTGCCTTCCAAGTCTACAGGCATGTGCCACCACACCCAGCTAATTTTTTTATTTATTGTAACATCTTGGCTTGTTATCCAAGCTGGTCTCAAACTCCTGGGCTCAGGTAATCCTATGGCCTCAGCCTACCAAAGTGCTGGGATTACAGGTGTGAGCTACCACACCTGGTTTGATAATTAAAAAAAAAAAAAAAAAAAGAGTATGTGTTACTTTTAAGTATTGTACAAAAAGTTGTTCATTTGGTTGCCTTTGATTTTGACGAACAAATCACAGACTTCCTTATGTGGTTGCTGAATTTTAGCTTATATGGGTCCTAAACACCTTATTAAAGTCCTGATTTTCTTTTCACAGCTAGAGTTGGGAAGACATCACTGATTATGTCTCTGGTCAGTGAAGAATTTCCAGAAGAGGTAAACTTTTGGCATGTGTTTCCTCTGACAGTTGTGACTTTTCAAAAGGCTTGTATTAGTTTATTGGTGATATCCATGACATGTAGTGTAGGAGAAAGAATCAGACTATATCTAAATTCACTGAAGCCCATCCATTTCCTACCTTTGACATTATCTAGGACATTTGTCCTCTCTGTGCCTCAGTTGTCTCATTTGTAAATTGGGAACTGAAAGGGATATAGAGATCATCTAAGCTGTGTAACCCTTTCTTAAAAATAACATTTTGCTCATAGCCCAAAATATAAAAAAGATGATGAGTGTTCCGTGAGTTGAAGTTAAGGTGAAAGGGCTGGATCCCTGCTTCCTTCTGCCTGACACTCCTGGTCTTGGAGGTGTTTTTGTCAGAGCCATTGGAATTATGACACTGAAACGAATTTGTTCCATTTTTGCCCACCTCAAAGGATTGTTGAGGATCTCAAATGAGATGAGTGCAGTAGTAGTGAAGTGTCACCAAGAGTGGTAAGGTGGTTTTGTCATTACTAGCAGTGTATTTTCATTTTGGAAGTTCCAGTGTGAGGCACTACTGGCTAAATCCTTATGTAAAGTTAGGATATTGTTATATGGAATAGGATCCATGCAGTGGGATGAAAATGATTTCTATTTATTTTCTTTCTCATGTAGTAGGTATTATTAGTGTCACAGTTTACATTTACCTTTTTTTTTTTTTTTGAGTCAGGGCCTCCTTCTGTCACCCAGGCTGGAGTACAATGGCACAGTCAGGGCTCATTGCAGCCTCCAGGGCTTGCTGCAGCCTCCAGCTCCTGGGCTCAAGTTATCCTCCTGCATCAGCCTCCCATGTAGCTGGGACTGCAGGTGTGTGCTGCCACACCTAGCTAATTTTTATTTTTTTTATTTTTATTTATTTATTTATTTATTTTGAGTTGGAGTCTCACTCTGTCACCCAGACTGGAGTGCAGTGGCCGCTCCCGGCCACCGCAGCCTCGACCTGCTGGGCTCCGGCGAT